ATTTTGCTAAAATTTGATTAAAGCAGCAGAAAGTTTAGAAAAGCTACGAGGATTATTCGAAACCTAGTCTTGACTGTATTCAGAATCACAAAATGTTTAGTATGCAATCACTCGTATGCACAAGAGGGATGGTTGAAACATAATGAAAATACACGTACAGAACTACTAAAATATTATTTCTATCCAAATTTTGGTAGATAAATTGAAGAAGCTTCACATTCCATTCCACAACGATATAACTCTAACACACCTCAGAGAAATGGTTGGTCTATGCACTACGAACTCTGGCATAATTCTAGAATCTAATATGCTGCTCCTCACCTAGTTTCCCTAGTATTCATATTATAACCAGCCGTTACGATTGCGCATGAACACTACTTTAGAACCGCTCTGATAAATCATCACAACAGCGCGGATGAGATGGCGGCGTCTTTTACGTACACCGTGCGCAACGTCTTTCACACAGAAATAAACTAATGAAGGTTTTTACTTTTTTTGCTATTAGCACACTCGTTGTTCCCACCCGGTTTACAACGAAACGTAACCATAAAGTCAACTCAACCTTGCGAAACAAACAATTCAACGGATGGTAATGACTTTCAAATTATCGTAATTTTCCTTAGCACCTTTGCCCTTCGCACGGCGTCCTACGAGGCGAATGTTGATTGAGTTGAGGATAATCCGCATGTAAATCACTTGTTTGGTAGCGCTTTAAACACCCTGCTGTTGGTGATAATTGGCATAATCAGGTGGAGCGAGCGACCTCCTCGACCGATTGTGAGAATCTAAGTGTGGCTATGTTTGCCTGATTGTAGGAAGGACATACGATGTAATCACAGAAATGAGGCACAGAGACCGGATGGGATGTGGTCTTTGTTGGGAAAGAACTGCGATGTTGCATTAGACCCATACTAACAAGTTTCCATAGCTTTGTACAAACACTCCAAACGCTTTTCGACGACCTTTGAAATCGCAAGCGCCACACTAACCGGGTTTCACATCCTCGACGACAGATAAGTACACAGCACTCCTTCCATTTTCAAGCAGACATGACAAGCAGGCTTTGATGAGGAGAAGATAAGTGAGCAAGGTTGGCCGTAACATTTTGGGTTCGTGGGATGGTCGTTCACGAACCACTTCGTAGGGCGGCCTGAACTCGGAGATGAAGAGGAGCAAATACCCGGCTATTTGAAGGAATCAAAAATCATGAGATTGCAGAGCTTGGCAAATTCTTTAAAAGGTTGAGGTCGACGACACAAAGCATTACAAGAATTACTAACGAGAGAGACCCAACAGCAAACAAGATATTTAATGATTTGGCTACGAGAGGTTCGGTGCGCGAGCGTGGCTAGCCGTGATAGCTGACCACTCCCACGAACGACCGCCCACTCTCCTCAGACTCCTCTCCTCACCTCGTTTCCCCTGCTAACCAAGCCGAGCCCTTCCCTTCCTAAACAAGCAAACCGCCAACAAGTCAAGAGCAGCACGACTGGCAGACTACAGAATCAAACAAAGCCT